TAATTTAATTTCAAAACCAGAATGTTTCCTCTTTTTTTGAGGAAAAAACAGAATATATATATATATATATATATATATATGTGTGTGTGTGTGTGTGTGTGTGTGTGTGTGTGTGTGTGTGTGTCGGTCTTTAAGATATATATTATATGTCAGTAAGCCGACAAGAAAGAAGAAGATCGGAGTTAAGATACATTTTCAAAATAAAATCACATCATGTTAATGATTGAACAGATATTTGGGTTTACTCAGAATATATAGTTTTTCCATGGAGCCATCTAACCAACCACAGCAAAATTCATCTGGCTTATAGTTAACATTTATATATCTGCATTGGGTATATTCGGGCAGCAATACTTTATTTATGTACACGCGTACACGTACCATAAAAATACTACAATTGTTAGAAAGTTTTAATGTTGAGACGTAATGAAGCAAAAGCATTCATATAATGTATTGAGATTGAATAAAAAAAAGAATCCACAATTAAAACAGGGGTCAAGGAACCGTTTAATTCGTTCTCTTTATATTATTTTGAGGCTCAATGTCATCTATGATTCATTGATTTCTCTTGGTATTATGTAAATCGCTTTTTGCTCAATATCGTTTTCGTGTTAAAATTTATGTTTAATATAACAGTGGAAAGGAAATATCTCTCGAAAGCGAATGATTAGTAACAGAACAAAAATGTGACGCGTTTTGTGGGGTTTACCAGTACAGCTGTTTCTTTATTACATGACAAATATTATCATGCTGTCTATTCTCTTTTTGCAACTTCTTGGCTGAGGAGGAAGTGACGTAGGTCGTTACTGATTGGGCTCTTCTGATTTCAAGATCAGCAGTAGCAGTTACTTAATGTGTCCATTTGTTGTGTGCTTGGCGGAATTTTCCTTCACGATTTTCCTTCTTGCACATCTATTCGTCCATGCTTAAAATATTGCTGCGGCATAAGGTCCCTGCTATTTACCTTAAGCTCGTTGATAAAATCTAAAGAATCAGCAACATTATTGGTCCTGTTCTGGCGGATCGGCTTCAGTCACATTCGCATCGCCGTAACGTTGCCTCTCTGTGTCCTTTCTATAAATTCTTTCATAGTAATTGTTTGGATCAGCTCTTGTTTATTCCCCTCCCCACGACAGACATGAATTGTACATATAGGGACTAGTTAGGGTTTTCATAGAGACATTAAAGTATTATGGTGAATGTTGTGAGAATGGTAAGTATGATGTTTCTTGTTTTGATGTAAGGAATTTTTGGGGTGTCCTTCATCTAATGAGTCTATTGTGGACGCGTCCGCTTACTATAAAATTAGTAGGAAAGTAAACCTCGGGTGAACAGACTAATAGATTGAATGCTGGTCAACTGTTACACAATCCCAAGTCGTGTAATACTCTTCTTTTCTATTTACTGTACAATACACAATTTATCTGCAACCTCTTGTTTTGTTATTTCTCAACCATTTACTTGGTTACAACAGGAATATTGTGGGATGTTTGGGTCAGTGATCGTTGCTAGCTAAGTTTAAATTTAAGACCGATTACCGTCCTTTCCGCATTTCGACATTTTGGCTTTGTGCAACGTTTGGTAATTTTACCGTACCTAGATTTTTTTTTTTAATTGGAGCACGGTACAAACCCGGCATCGAGATTCCAATAATTTACTGTTGAGCTGGCTAGATATAGCCGTAAATTCTATGCTGACAGTTTCTTTTCTCGCACTTCTCACTTGTGGAACTCATTCTCATCACCATGCTTTCCTGCTAACTTTAATCTGCAAAAAATTAAATGCAACATCAATCGCTATCTACTGTTCTCATTACTCTTTCCCCTTACCGCTCATTTTTAACATTTCTATTCCTAATTCTGCTGCACCCAATAACACCTTGCGTCGTAGTGGCATGGGATGATAACGATTATTTTTTTTTTTAAATAGAGAACTTCTCGTAACTATGTATTATTATTATGATTATTTTAATTTCCCTATCCTAAATAAAGTCACATATAAAATTCTAATTCATTAATCCATCAACAGAATCATATATCAACGCATTTTTTAAGTAATTTTCTATTTAGAAAGCATTGGTTCGGTGGAGCAAGAATAAAACCTTCGGTTTCAGCCTTTACCATTGCACTATTTAACCACTAATGTGTACAGGGTTTGTCTACATAAGCTTGACTATTATTATTATTATTATTATTATTATTATTTCCTTTGATATCTAGCGTTTACACATTTCTTTTCGGTTCTCTCCCAGGGCCCTAAAGTTAGAAATGGTACCATGACACTTTCTACAGACAAAAAAAAAAAAATACATAAATTACATAAAATTATATAAAGCCTTTCGTAAAGTGTGCGCTGTACTTGTCAGAACAATTTTTTGTATCTCTTTGAGGCATGAACTTCCAGGAATCCCTTCAATTAGTCTACTGCAATCTTTTCCAACCAGTCCTAGGGCTTCAACTACAACAGGGATTGTTGATGTTCCCATATGCCACATTTTTTTAGATTTCTATTTCAAGGCCCTTGTACTTTGACAACTTTTTGAATATCTTCAAAGATACATTGCAGTCAGTAGGGACTGCCATATCAATAAGGAGGCACCGATTTTGTTTGTGGTCTTTAATAACAATATCTGGGCGGTTGGCTTTGATTGTTCTGTCAGTGGGTATTGTGTTGTCCCATAGAATTGTAACAGGTCCTATCTCCGTAACCGGGTCTGGGTGGTGTTCATACCAGTTTCTTTCAGTTTCCTTCCCGTAGAAGTTGCAAATTTTCCAGTGCAGATATTGGCCCACTGTGTCATGCCGGGTTTTATATTCACTGGGTGCCAATATCGTGCAACATGATACAAGATGATCAATCGTTTCTGGATATTTATCACAGAATCTGCATTTTGGTCTAACACAATATTTTAGTATATGTGCTTGATAATTCCTAGTTAGCAAGCATTGGTCCTGTGCAGCAAGGATAAAACCTTCAGTTTCCGCTTTCAACCCTGCACTACGTAGCAACTGATGGGTACGGGTTTTGTTTACGTCAGCTTGTTTGGTACGGGCACAGTATTGGCCATAAAGCGGTTTATCTTGCCATCGCTTCTGTATCTGGTTAGTTGCATTTGTCTTTGCTGTTTTTTTTAAGTATTTTGCAGTTTCAGCCGGTGTATTGTGATGAACTTGCATTTCTGCGCCCATTTGAAACTTCATTTTGAATTTGTTGGCTTCTTTTATTACGGAGTAAAGACGCTTACTACTTTCATGTTCCTTGACGCATACCATCATCCAGTCTTCTGTAGTTTCCAAGTATTATTATTATTTTAATTTCCCTGTCCGAAATAAAGTCACATATAAAATTCTAATTCATTAATACATCAACAGAAACATATATGAACGAATTTGCTTGGCTCAGCGTTGGCGTAAGTATTATATATAGACTTTACAGTATCGAGATGAGATTTCTTTTTTAAAATGACTATTATTTTATCTTTTGATTCGACATAAAAGTCAGCGGCCAGTTTATTTTCGATAATGAGAATCCAGTCTAAACTAGTTAGGCACGAATTCATTTGTTTGCATCTCACGTTTATTAGAAGTTATCTTTGAGAAACTTCTTTTATCATGTATTTGTTTATTCATTTATTTATATTTTGTTTTTTGTTTGTAACCCCCTCACCCACATGAACACAGACAACATGATCGTGTCTGGGAGATGAAAATACCTCAACAAACGTACAGATTCAAAACTGGCAAATTCAATTGCGAAGTCGCAGATGGTCAGACCGGAAGCAGACAACGTCTGAAAGTTGGCCAATCAAACAGCCGGTGTAAATGGCGCCAGCCGTTTGAAGACATCAGTTGTTATTTAAAGTAAGCCGAAATGACTACGTTCAAATAATGACAGACAAGTCAAATAACAATGACAAATAACGTTTTCAGTATCGAAAATCGTAATGGAGCCAGAAGGTACTAATGTTGATTTGACCTTTTATTTATTTATTTTTATTTTATTCGTTTATCAAAAGAATTTGTTGTTAGCCACGTACAATAGAGATTTTTTTTCTCAAACACATTCAATACTTTCATTGATTTCAAGTGTAATAATATCCCCTATTTTTGTCATTGTCACGGCATATTATAGGATTGGGTATGTTGCTGAATCCTATCGTTGTTCTGTAATAAGACGCGGCGGCTGCTACTTAATGAAATTCAAAGTAGCCATCGTTTTACCAAGGTAATTTTTTCTCGTAACATTAAATAATAAAAACGAATGTGATCTTTATTTCTTGTCGTAAGGAAATTTTACCGACTACTTGTCAGTGAAGGAGAGAGATAAGTGTGTGAAAGATGCTGACAGTCACTTTTCTATCTAGCATTCTCGTTAATGATTGATTCGTTAATTCACGGGTGAAGGTGAAGGTACTTAAAGTGCCATATTCTTTCGCTTTTAGATTTTTTGCAATAACCTGACTGAAATGACTTTCAACTGATTCTATCAAATATATCGTATTTTAGAAGTATCATTTTTTTAAAAAAATTGTTTGGCTGTTTATTCGTTAGGTGACGCTTTCTCTTTCTCTAACCTTTAACACTAACCGATCTCATTTGACTTCATACGTTTATCAGCAACAACGCCATTGGATTATGACCACATCACGTTGAATGACCGGTTTCAGTACGATCACCGAAGTTAAGCAACGTTGTACATGTAATAGATAAAGATGTAATGGATAAAGGTTCTTAATGGTGAGTTCCAATCTCAGGTGGGTACGTTGGTCTCACGTACGCGCCAATAAACTTGCGAAATGTATGAATCTGCTTCTACTCTCCCAACCTATGTAATAATTATTAAGAATTCTATTAGCAAAATCACTGTTCACACCCAACCAAAGAGATTCTTGCAATATAAAAATATTTCTGGCTTTAAATAAAACAAGCAGTAGAAAACACATCAGAATCTCAACCTGTTCATATCTATCAATCTGAACTGTTTATTATCTATCTATCTAGCTTGCTATCTATCAACCACTATCTGTTCATATCTACCTCGGTCTGCTAATCTATCTATCTATCTATCTATCTATCTATCTATCTATTTATATATCTATCTATCTATGTGCGTCTGTTCATATATATCTGTTACAGTCTGATTATATCTATCTATCTATCTATTTATCTCGGCATGTTCACTCTCTATCTATCTATCCATGTGCGTCTGTTCATATATATCTGTTACAGTCTGATTATATCTATCTATCTATCTATCTATCTATCTATCTCCGTTTGTTCATCATTCACCTGATTCAGTCAGTGATACACGCTTAGGCAATACATGACTGACGAGGCAAATTTTTCCCCGTAGTAGGTATCTTCCTGCGGTAGAGCAGTTAACATCAAAGGCTATAGAACCCAGTCTTTTCTGTTATTTACCCATAGAAGATAAGGATTCATACCTGTATTAGCACGTCAGTGAATGAAATGGATTCGACTGGAATTCGAACTCGGTTCTCCGATTCATCAATCCGAGCCGCTATCCATTACTCTGCCATACCTGATTATTCATCTTTTATTTTCTTTTTTTTTTCATTCTTTCTTTTTTAGTATCTTATATTTCTGAGATGAGGTATTATGTACACTATTTACATTATTCGGACTAATTTCCTCATCTTTGTCGCCATATTTATCACAACAATAGTCCTTTCTTTTGTCTTTCTCGCTTGGGGTTCCCAGGTGCTGTAAGCTTGTGTATGCGAGTGGTGTAATGGATAATAGTTCGTAGTTTTAAATCGGAGAGCCGAGTTCCACTTCTTTATAATATAGTCACTTACGCGCAAATACCCTTGGAAAAAATACGAATCAATCACGTTATCCCCCCAGCTACGAGTTAATTAGTACGACTTGTATCACTAAACCATTATTCTTCCACCTAAAAATATGTCTGGCTTAAAATAACCTACAAAGGGTTGATAAACAGTAAAAACGAATCAATCAAATCAAACAACGCCAGTATTATTTAGTATAATACGAATATTATTGCATTTTATTATTCATCAGTACGACTCGATTAAGGCGTAGTATATTCTTTACGTTATAGAGCTAAAATTGCATAAGATCATTTCTAGCTGAATTCCCTTTGTGACAAATTCGTTTTATAAAATAAATATATTATGGTTGGTGAGATAATAGCTGTAAAGTCTGCTGTATTTCATCATGCCAATCGTAATGGTAAGATGAAGGCTTTCCTAATAGGAACAAGTTATTCTTCTTTTTTTCTCCTTCTATTTTTTCTTCTACTTCTTCTTTTTCAGCATCTTCTTCTTCGTCTTTATTTTCTTCATTATCTTCTTTTTTGGCATTATCATCTTATTTGTCTTTAACCTATTCTTCTACATTGTTTTACATTCTTAATCGTTTTATCTTTTTCTTCGTCTTTATCTTCTTCATCTTTATCTTATTCGTTTTGACTTTTCACTTCTTCGTCGTTACTTTCTTCATCGTCTTTATATTCTTCTTCTTCTTCTTCTTCTTCTTCTTCTTCTTCGTCTTCTTCTTCTTCTTCTCTTATCTTGTATTTCTTCTTCTTCTTCTTCGCTTTTTCATCTTGTTTTTAACTCTTCTTTTTCTTCAAATTCCTTTTTTCTTCTTTAGAATCTTATTCTTTGTCATTCTTCATTGTGTCTTCGTTTTTTTTATCTTCTTTTTCTTCTTCTTCTTCTTTCCCTTCAAATTTTTTTCTCCTTTTTTATCTTCTTCTTTTCTTCCCGTCTTCTTCTTCTTTTCTTTCTTCTTCGTTTTTATCTTCTTCTTCTTTTATATTCTTCTTCTTCTTCTTTCTTCTTATTCCTTTCTTCAGCTTTCTTCTTCTTCTTCTCCTTCTTCTTCTTCTTCTTCTTCTTCTTCTTCTTCTTCTTCTTCTTCTCACTCTCTTTATCTTGGTTTCTTTCTTCGTCTAGCTTTCTTTTCTTTGTCTCTTCTTTTCTTTGTTCTTTCTTTCTTTCTTTCTTTGTTTCTTTTCATCTTATTTTTTCTTTATTCTTCATCCCTTTTTTATTCAAAAAGAGCTTCTTCATCCATATTCATTTTTTTTTATCTTCTTTTTTCTTCTTTTTTCTCATTTTTTTTCTTTCCTGTTTCTTGTTATCCTTCTTCTTCTTCTTCTTCTTCTTCTTCTTTTTTTTCTCCATCTTGGTTTCTTTCCTTCGTCTTTTTGTCTTCTTCTTCTATCTTCCTCTTTGTCTTCTCTTCCTTTTTTTCTTTTGATTCGGTTTCATTGTCTTTATCTTCTTCTTTTCTTTTTTTCTCCTTCTTCATCTTTAAATTCTTCTCATTTCATTTTTCTACTTTTTTTCATCCGCATAATTATTTTTATTTTTTTTTCGTTTATCCCCTTTTTCATTTTCATCGTCTTTCTTTTTCTTTTCTTTTTTTTTTCTAAAGTCTTTAGCTTCTTCTTCATCTTTATATTCATCTTCTTTCCTTTAAAACATTCATCTTCTTCATTAGCTTCTTTTTCTTTCCCTCTTCTTCGTCCTTAAATTTCGGTTTACCAACTTCTTCTTCTTCTTCTTCTTCTTCTTCGCATTTTTCTTCTTCTTCTTCTCTTCTTCTTCTTCTTTTCCCTCTTCTTCGTCTTTACTTTTCGACTTCAAAATTTTTTTCCTTCTCCTTCTTCTTCTTCTTCTTCTTCGCAAATTTTTCGTCTTTATCTTTTCGACTTCATTTAGAATTCTTCTTTTTCCTTTATCTTCTTCATCTTTTCTTCTTCTTCTTTTCTTCTTCTTTTCGATTTATCTTTTCTCATTCTTCTTTTCTTTTCTTCTTCTTCTTTACCCTTCTTCTTCGTTTTTCTCTTTTTCGTTTTTCGAATTCCTTCATCTTCTTCTTCTTTTCTTCTTCGCATTTATCTTCTTCTTCTTTCTTCTTCTTTAGATCTTTTCGATTCAAGTTTCTTCTTTTCCTTTATCTTCTTCTTCTTCTTCGTTTATCTTCTTCTTCTTCTTCTTCTTCTTCTTTACCCTCTTCTTCGTCTTTATCTTTTCGACTTCAGGTTTAAATTCTTCTTCTTTTCCTTTATCTTCTTCTTCTTCTTCTTCTTCTTCTTCTTCTTTTCTTCTTCGTCGTCTTTATCTTTCGTCTTTTATCTTTTTCTTCGGTTTAAATTCTTCTTCATCATTTATCTTCTTCTTCTTGTTCGTCTTTATCTTTTCGCCATTTAAATTCTTCTTCTTTTCCTTTATCTTCTTCTTCTTCTTCTTCTCTTTGAATTCTTTATCTTCTTCTTCTTCTTCTTCTTCTTCTTCTTCTTCTTTACCCTCTTCTTCGTCTTTATCTTTTCGACTTCTCCTTCTTCGTCTTTATCTCTTTCTTCTTCTTCTTCATCTTGTTTATATTTTATTCTTTTTTCATTCATCAAATCATACACTTTTATTTTATTCTCTATATTTCTCTATTACTATCATTTTTCTTTTCTTTTCCTTCTGTCAGACTGATAACTTCACCCTTTGATGTTTTTATCCCAACTTTCATTCAGTATGCTCTCCGACCTTCATCAACTGACAGAACGAACAACGACACAATTCCAAATAACACGTGCAATAATAAAAAATGTTTTATCTTGGAACCTCAGACAAACCTGAAAAGGACAAAGACGGCTTCAGTTTTTTAAACCAATGATAAGAACAATAAAAGCTATGAGATTGGTCTAAATAATTTATGTAATAATAATCTTTCTTCATAGCACTTGAGAAAACAAAAAAGCCGACGAACTCCGAACCGAAACATATTGTTCTTTGTGCCGTGACCCAGCAGGACATGGGCGATCATAACTCACAACACATTTTGTAGCTCTTAGCAATGTTTGTTTTTTACTAATTTCCGAATCAGTTCTGCCATCTGTTTAAACAAGCTTGTTAGCAAGATTACTCGGTGTTTCCCACTTGCTTCAACATGCCCTGTGCGTTTTAAATTTTCCAGGCCTACTTTTCTTATTATTTGTCCGATAATTTCAGCTGTCTCTTTCTGGTTCGAAGTATAATTGAGCAAGATTACTCGCTGTTTCCCTCTTGCTACAATATGCCCTGTGCGTTTTAAATTTTCCAGGCCTACTTTCTTTATTATTTGTCCGATAATTTCAGCTGTCTCTTTCTGGTTCGAAGTATAATTGAGCAAGATTACTCGCTGTTTCCCTCTTGCTTTATATGCCCCGTGCGTTTTAAATTTTCCAGACCTACTTTCTTTATTATTTGTCCGATAATTTCAGCTGTCTCTTTCTGGTTCGAAGTATAATTGAGCAAGATTACTCGGTGTTCCCCTCTTGCTTCAATATGCCCTGTGCGTTTTAAATTTTCCAAGCCTACTTTCCTTATTATTTGTCCGATAATTTCAGCTGTCTCTTTCTGGTTCGAAGTATAATTGAGCTCTATTTTATTTTTTTATTATTATTAAGACATTCTAGATAAATACATGCTCTGTTCATAGTGTTCGCTGCATCTTTCCATCGAACCAGAATCCTTCTTACTTCACATCTACTCTTCATCCGTAAAGACATTATCCAGCATTCACTGCCATAAATGTTTGATACTACATAGCAGTTCAGTGTGGGCTAACGAGATTTACGTATTTGATTTTTTTTTTTTTTTTAGGAAGGATTTTCTTTTTTCATATTTCAATGTAATTCTTCATCGTTTCTTAAAGCAATTCCCACATATGTAAATTTATATAGCTTTTTTTTTTATTTTGACCTACAATTCGTAGTTTGCGTCTGATGTTCTTTCTCGCGTGGTGGTCGACTGCCAGACGCGGAATGGTTGGCCGCCTGAAACGCGGTGACCGGCCGCCCGGCACGCGCTGCCGTTGGGTAAGAAAATAAAAAGTTCAAAAAGTCAACCCAACACCAAGGGGCAAACGTCCACTGTACGGTCTGTTCAAAAATAGTGCGTTTTCTCTTATATATTCCGTCTTTTTTTTTTTTTTATTACAATTGGTGATTAGTCCTTTCTTCTCGCTTTCTTTTAGTAACCGAGACAGAGTGATTGCAAACTCTAAAGAAAAGGATATTAGTCGCAATAATTTACGGGACATATAATTTTTTTTTTTTTTTTTTTTTTTTACATTTATATATTTTCAATATATATTTTCAATTATTTGTGTTGAGATTAACTTAGTAGTTACCAGACTTTATATAACAGGTCCATAAAATGCATTAGGAAGAAAGTAGATAAAAATAATGATAATAATGACAGGAGATGAAAAAAGAGGAGGTTTAACAAGGAAGAAAAAGACAGAGAAAAATAAACAAAACGAATGAAATAAAAACATGATACACAATACTGAAAGTAAGAATGAAAAATAAAAACGAGTAAATGTGAAAAAAGAAAGAAAAGAAAGAAAATGAGAGAGCAGAAAAGAAAAATAAATAAAGAAAGAAAGAAACTTTCTTTCTTTATTTTTCTTTTCTAAAGAAAGAAAGAAAGAAAGAAAGAAAGAAAGAAAGAAAGGGTACATAATAAAAACAGGGAAGAAACAAAAGCGAAACAAAATGAAATAACATTTGATGCGAAAAAAAGCAGTACTTGAAGAAAATAAACAAGGACTGAAAAGAAGAAAGAAAGCAAATCAAAAAACAGGTGAAACATGACAAAGCCATAGTTAAAGAAAATAAAGAGAGAAAGACAAAAAGAAAACACAAAAAAAGAAATATAATATAAACAGTGAAAATAAATGAATAAATAAAAGAAAGGAATATGAAAAAACAGGAAATAAACAGAAACCAAAAAAATAAAATAAAATCCTTTGATATGCGTTAAAATGATACTGGAATAAAATATATCAAGACATAAAAAAATGTATAAAAAGAAAGAAAAAAGAAAGAAAATGAAAAGAAAGAAAGAGAAAATAAAGAAAGAGAAAAGAAAGAAATATATGAACATAAAGATAGAAATGAAACATGAATGAACATATTAAAGGCAGGAAAATACAGTAGCCAAATAAAAATAAAACCTGTGATACGAGTAAAATTAATATAGAAAGAAAAGAAATAAAGAAAAGCATAAAGAAAACGTGGTTTCCCTCTGTTTTTTCTATAAATATTTTCATGGCAATAGCTCTGACGAGCAGCATTTTTACCTTGTGCCTAACTACACGAATTTAAACGTGCTAGTAGATTGGCATCTACGGCCACTCGTTTACTGTCGAAATAGCTACATGCAACTACCACTTCTACTCTAACGGTTTCTTTTCTCACAGTCCGCGTCTGTGGAACTCCCTTCCATTTACTTGCTTCCATGATAGCTACAATCTGCAAAAATTTAAATGCAACGTCAATCGCCATCTCCTGTATTCTTGAATCCCGTTCATAATTTGTTCTTTCCTCAATCCTCACTATTCCCAGTTTTCTCTTTCACTTTCATCCCCTGTAACGCACTGCGTACTAGAGGCAGTCTCGCCTTGTTTGGGGTGAAGTGATTATAAAAAAAAGAGTCCTCTCTGATTAGATCTTCTCATGATTTAGTCTAATGCGTGGTCTTTTGCCATGAAGGTTGTATGTAGTGAGGCAAGTATTCTTCGTTTTATATTATCAAATATAGCTTAAACAACCAGTCCTAGAATGAAGAAGTTGACATTTTAAACAGCTTCACAACCCAACAAGATCTTCACTTTTTCTTTTCTTCATTACTTTGACTGAGTTCAAATTAAGTCCCCATTTCTTGCAGGAATTTTTTAAAACAGTTTCAGTACTTTTGAATCGTTCACACCAGCCAAGGCGATAATGCCACTAGCACCGTGAGGATTATTGGGACTGAAAGAGTATTCTTTAGGGAGGAGGAGGACAATAAAGGAATAGGTTTCAGAAAGAAAGAAGGTGGCGAATGATGTCACATTCTGATTTTTTTGGCAGAGAAGCAGGACATCGGAAGGGAGTTCCACAGGCGAGAAGTGTGAGACAAGAAACTATTAGACTAGTGAGCAAAACGGTGAGACCTAGTTGCCAGTCTTGTACCAAGCATAAATTCATGCAGTTGAAGAACTAATAAGAACAGCTCATCAGAACAATAGCCATGAAAATAGTTGTAGAAAAGACAGAGGGAGGCCACGTCACGATGAGAAAGAGACTGAAGGCGAGATGACAGGTCTGGATCGATTAGATTACAGATGCTTCTTTGAATGTCATCAAGAATCTCGAGAGGTACAGCAGAATCATCTTTAAAGATGTGGTAACATTATTCAATATACAGAGGAAGGGTTGATTTGTAAATGTTGGAGAAGCCTTCGGGAGAGATTTGTCTGGCATGACACAGTGAACCAATTTTCCTACCAGTAGATCCCCTAGCAATTGACGCGATATATTCCCTCCATCGCATGTGAGAAATAAGTGCCGTATTGTCAGCTATTTAGTCCCAATATATTCAGTATCTAATATCCACCACAATGTTCTTTTCTACGTGCAGATCTGATTGTCAGCTGGCTAGATCATTCGTTTAAAAGTTGAACAGTGTTATTATAATATCCAACCTTGACTCATATCTTGAAACGATTACGTGTCAACACTAAACCGCTAATTTTCAAAACGGCACATCTGCGCTATATTTTGGCTGAATTTCAAGGAGAAGCATTTCTTTTTTATTTACATTCGAACTACTATCATCATCTTTGTTGTTGCTATCACAGAATGTCGGCTATTATGAATGTGGTATTATTCATATGTTTGTCGATCCTGGTAAACGTCAGAAAATACTCGAACTTAATTCATCCGGGGAAACTTTTCTCGTCCCACTGTCCATATTTTGTCCTTAATTAGTACGGCTCAGTTATTGTTCTGAGTCTAAAGCAGCATTATCCGGGCCACTATACCACAAAATATATGAACAAACGATTTAATCCACTAGGCTATTAACCTGTGGGACAATCCTGAGTCTAAAACTTGGAGCCTTCAATCTACTCAGTCCGCCGCTGACACGCTTGAGAACAGTCGCTAAAAAATTGTCATCTCACAGATGCTGCTGCTATAAAATTGCCCTGATTGCTTTGAGGATTTGGTGAAATAGAAATTGCGAGTTAAATCAGTGATCAAGATAGTATAGGCTTCAAATCAGTTGAAACAGGTTGAGCAAATGTTGAAGTTATAAATACTAGAAGGAGAGGTATCACTAGACATGTATCGCAAAATAAAAATAATCTAACTCCGTAGATTAAAGAAAGTGTTAATTTCAATGTTTTCTGAAAGTTATCCGTATGGATAAGCACCTTAAGAAGGCCGAAGAATAAAGCGGCCTAAATGTTGTCTTAATATCAACACTACGTCACTATTTAATTAAATACGACTGGATCCAGTTCTACAAGTTCTAATATTTCCTCCAATGAGTAACGGTTTAATTTTGTTCGTTTAACGGCATATCAACTCCTTATGAGTCATTTAATGCCGAAATTTAATATTCTTGGGAGGGTTAAAGTTATAAAGAGATATGCTGAATGTTATTCTGCTTTCACAATGGAATACATGGTAGATGATACTCAGGTTTTCTTTAACTATGGCTTTGTTGTGTATTCCTGTTCTTTGATTTGCTTTTTTTTCTTCTTTTCAGTCCTTGTTTATTTTCTTCAAGTAATGTTTTTTTTTCGCTTCAAATGTTGTTTTATTTTGTTTCGTTTTTGTTTTCTGTCTTTATTATGTACACTTTCTTTCTTTCTTTTTTCTTTCTTTCTTTCTTTCTTTCTTTATTTTTCTTTCTTTCTTTTCTTTTCTTTCTTTTTTCTTTTCTTTTTTCACATTTACTCTTTTTTATTTTTTATTCTTACTTTCAGTATTGTGTATTGTGTTTTTATTTCATTCTTTCTATTCATTTTGATCTATTTTGTTATTCCTTTCACGCGCCCTCCCTTCTTAGCTTTTTACTTCTCAGTTTCCTACCCATAATCTATTTCTCAGTCTTCGTTTTTTACATCATACCTTTTTTTCATCCTTTCATCATTCTAATTCTTTCACTTTTTCTGTGTATTATTCTTCGTTCGTTTTAGATATCCCTCCATTTGCCAACTATCATTCTCATCGTCCTTTATCATTTTTAGACCGCCTGCATTTTTTCAGTGTAAGCTACTTTCACTTTCATTTTCTCTTTCACTTTCACTTTCACTTTCTCTTTCTCTTTCAATTTTGTTAATATCCAAACTTCAATGGTAATCTTTAATGCGCCATTTCCTTATTTCGATTCTACTTTCTCCTTTTATTTTATTTTATTTTTTATTTATTTTACATTTCGGGCCAAATTTTAGACATCGTCTTCCATCTTTGCCCATACACAAATCTTCCTCTTAGTTTTATCCCCCCTGCCGACAACAACTATCAATCGGCGATGCTCATAAAACACCGCATCTTCAGCTATTTATCTCGTTACAAATCAAGCACTGACGCTTTCTTTACAGGCTGTACTCTTCCGTTAAATAAAAATAAAGGAAAAACGTGCCTTCCATAAAATGTTGGTCACTCGCTTTCTTAGGTGATGAAAGCCTCGTTCGATGAATGATAGAGTAACTTATTCTTTGCGCTAATACTGATTATCTCTCTTGCTTAATGGTAGTTTGGAAAGCTTATCTGCTTAATGAGAGCCAAATGCATTTATTGTGCGCGTGTGGAGGTATTATTTTATATTAGCTTTTTTTTCGGCACCAAACCAAGGGTTGAGCCTACTGTCAAGTAAGAATCGATAGGTAAACTATGATTGTTAGTTACTTAGTGCAGGATATATTAAATAGTTTGTAAATGCTGTAAAATATATACATTTTTGGCGTAACACGCTCGTTCTTGCTTTTTACTGATCTAACTATTCCTCTCTCTCGATCACTCTCACTCACTCACTCACTCACTCTCTCTCTCTCTCTCTCTCTCTCTCTCGCTCTTCAAAAGAGAGCAACAAATTCAGTATATACTACAAAGGAATTTTCGCTTTCGCCTTGAAGTGGGGAAAGAAAAGTTTCTTGCAATCTATATCAATAAATGTGAATTGTCAGTGTGTCACACCTTTTCAACTTTACTACTAGAGGCCGTAGTCCAACATAACATACCATTTTGGAATCAGGACGACTCCGTGCGCTAACTAAAAACCTTCTATCCTGGTATTTTGGATTCTCAACTTTACATTACTGCGATTCTTTTCGATGAATTTTAGGTGATTTTTTACGACGATTTTTTTTCTTGTGCGATAATCATTTTTATAACTTGGAAATAAATTTGAGGATAATCGAAATTAATTGTGAAATTCAGCGGAACTCAGCCATGAAATAAAAATAATACTTTGTATGGAAAAGGGTTAGCTTAAATATTAAGGCAATACTTAAATGCATCGATCAGTTTTGAGTTCTTCTGTAGTTTATTATAGCCTGTTGTTATGGGACCTTACCCATAATAACATAATGGACTATTCCATACGTAATAAATACTGCACCTCAAGAGGAAGCAGGGAGTTCAGTCCGAAGTCGGGCGACCGGCTGATCGGCTGATCGGTTGAACTCTTAGCCTTCGGGCGGGGAGGAACCCGAATGAGGCTACGCCGAAGGGCGAAGTCTCTTTTGGGGAGGTAAAGCGACCCTGAACCCGTTTATACGGGTTCAAAGGACATATTTTTGCCCGAGCGCACGGGCTTGGAGATCCCACGTTAAACCGGTCTTGTGCCACTTGATGCCCTCGTGGGTGGGTGACTAAATACGGTTCAGTCTAAAGTCTGGAGTGAGGTCCGTCAGAAGTCAGTCAGTCAGAGCGAGTCAGTCAGTCGAGTCAAGAGTCGAGTCAGCGGCAGTCCGAAATAGAGTCGCGTTCAGACAATTACTACTAAACCTGATTGTTCATACTAACACTTTCTACTTCTCTCTATATATTCCTGTTTGTAATATATCTGTGTTATTCAATATCCGTGTTCGAGTTCTTCTTTATTTGTTCTACCTTGGACTATCACCGTGGTACAAGGAACCGGACCATAACACCTATTGTAAATGGCAGCCGTATGGTT